TCCACGATTGCGGCCACTGGCGGCCATCATTTTGGTAGAGTTATATTACCTCTAGCCAAGGTACAGTTGCTGCAGCCACTATCATCCATCCATGGCAGACAGCGTTGTGGCAGTTGTGGTGGCAGGCTGCCATCAAAATAGCGTGGGTGATATTTCCTGCTTGATTGAAATTGTTCGACGAAACATATTTTTGAAACTCGGCGTGAACGGTAGCCCGATCTTTGAGGACCCGGTGAAAGTTTCGCGAAGTTGCAGCACCGGGGAAAAGCAGCACAGCACGCATCGAAAGTCGCATCAAAAGAAGCTTCGAAAGCAGACGCCGGTACGGAGTCTGCTTCCAATGCGAGCTGCGCTGTTTTCCCCCGGTACTGCGCTTTCGTAGAACTTTCGCCGGGTTCTTAAAGATGAGGCTACCGATCAAACCGGGTTTCAAGCATCTGCTTCGTCGAACAACTTCAATCAAGCACGAAACATCACCCACGGTACAGTGTACTAGATCCAGGGCTATTTTATGGCAGCCTGCCGCCATTGCGCTGTCCGCCATATTCAAGGAGGTAGAGGAGCTTAGAGCGATAGACCGGGGTTCCGGTCTGCACTCGAAAGTGACCCCCATAAGGCGGCTGCCATTGTACGCAAATTTGACCACTCGTCACATGACCAAACCAAATACGTGACGTCACAGGAAAGATGGCAGCGCCCATGCAGAGGCTAGCCCCAGCTAGGCCTACAGCTTGTTGGATGCTTTGTTGGTTGTCGTTCGTCTCGGCGAGTTGATTTCAGACGCGGAAACCATTTTATGAGGCCGGTTGAAAGCGGCTTCAAAGTTCAACGTGGCGCCTGACGTAGGTATAACGTGAAAATACGGAGGAACGTTGTGCATTTCGCTGGTGACCGACGGGGATATTGCCACGGAAGAATCTGCCCTACGTTGCTCGCACCTCGGATTGATTCGGATACCGCTAGGATAAAATTTAAGGCGACGTTTCTGTGCTCTCGTTGACCATCGGAACCCTCGAGATCTGCAGTGAAGCGTGTGCAATATATTTGGATACACAGCTAGCGACGGAAATTGCGTGAGTCGTGCTTGGCAGTGTGCAATCGTGGTGCAGCTTCGTTCAAATGACCGAAGGCTGACTTTGGTTGTGCGGCGCACCGGAGAGCTTCCTTGAAGCTGGTAGTTCCCGTGCCGTGTTAAATGATGCTGTGCTGCTTCCCCAATTGTTCCGGCGTAGACGTGCACTTTCACAGAGCACAGGTGTGGGGCGCACCGAAGAGCTGCCTTCAAGCTGGTAGTTCCTGTGCCATGCTTTAGGTGATGCTGTGCTGCTTCCCAAATTGTTCCGGCATAGACGTGCACTTTCACGGAGAACGGGTGTTGCAGTTGGTGTTGATTCCGCTGGTCTGTCGCGCGCTTCGTCGACACAAAAGTTTCATCATCACTCGTTACGCGAATTGCAAGCCGTATGGACATTTCATTGCGCTTGTTACCTACCCAGTCCACCCGTTCACGCCGCTTTGCGACGACAGTCTGCAGCGGCTCATAACCGGAAAAGTGGTCCCACATCCTTTTCAGTTGAGTTCGCCCATGGCAGTCGCCAAACCCGGAGAGAGAGAATTTATTCGGACAGAATGACACTAAAGCAATGCAGCTTCTTTAGTGGTCAGGGTAGTCTCCCTTCTGTCAGTTTTGCTATATATTCACGGATGCTTGCTCCAGTCCTATCTTTTATTAATATTTACTATTCTCGAAAGTTCTAGGCCATGCTCAGCTGTCATCGTATGTTCTGGTGGAGGTGCTGGGTACTTTACCCATAGCCCTTCACTCTGTGTGCACCTTGGCGGCTCCTCAGCCGAGTTGCCCGATAATGGGACACGGGGGGCGGACTATCCCGCGTCTTAAACCGCCGGCGAGCCGTGAACCAAGTCCTATCCCGAGCCCAGCAGAAAGACCGCAAGACGAGCAAGTAGCAGAAGGACGAACCTTGAAAATACACCACGAAGAACCTGAAATCCGAGTCGGCCGCTGGTACCAGGAAGAACCACCGGAATTCGGTCTTTTAGGCAGAAAACCCGAAGCTGACTAAGCCAACAATGACAAAAAAGTAGCAGTGAACCGCGTCCACTCCCACCATTGTATGTATGCTCGTCGCACCTCACACTCCGACGCTCTTTCACGCATGGTATATGAAGATGTTGAGGGTCGCTGGTACCGCCATTTAAATAGGTACTACACTGTAATCTATTGGTTACAGTGTGGTGGCACATAAATAGTTCAAAAAGGGGAAAAAAACAGATAAGACAGTAAATAATCTCACCCCCCCCCCCCCCCCAGACGTAGCTCTCAAAATTAAAACATTTCACATATCAGAAACCAAAAATATGCATATCAAGTAGTCGTCTGAACGCAGCAAAATTTAAAAACATGTCTACATGAGTCGGAAATTCATTTAAACTAATTTGCATTCGAGCCAAAGGGGACGGTCTCGTTTGAATAGATGTATAAAACACACTTGAGTTTCTAACAACGCGGGCCGGTACATAAAAGTTTAAAGACGACACAAGATTGCTATCTATTTGGCCGTGAACCACTTTGTATAAAAATATAATGTCACGAGCAATTCTTCTTTTTGACAGGTTCTGTATTGAAAGTTCTCTAAGAAGGTATTCATAATCAAAATAACATTTTCTATCAAACTATCTATTATAAACAAGGCGTATAAATCGCTTCTGAACTCTTTCTATCCATACAGCGTCGGTTATTGTTAGCAAATTCCACACTGAACTACAAAACTCAAGTTTAACTCGTACAAGGGAACAGAACAATCGAACTTCGCAGATTATATTTGAAAAATCATGCCAAAAATCACTTGACATTCGAGTTTCCGCTAACTTTAGCAGAGAGACCTTTTGCCTACTTTAACGGAGGAATTTTCCGCTAAATTCAGTAAAGGACGTTTCCCGAAGAATTTGGCTGGGTCGTATCCGCTAAATTTAGCGAGAAATTGTAACGTCACGTGACATCGTGAAGTCGCTATGTCACGTGGCACTGTGGCACCCCAATAAGTTTAGCGGATAAATTTCCCCGCTAAACTTAGCGGGTCATGACTTGCGTACACAAAACACCCATTGGATCCACCCCCAACCCTCGCCAAAAACGGTGCAAAAATGCAACTTCTCGGCCGTATTTGATTATTCTGTTTATTCAAATTACCACTAAAACCCACCAAAGTAGGGATTTACGTTGAAGCGAAGAGAGAGGGGAGTACATAAAATACAAAAACATACATTATAATATTGGTATAATATTACTAATCTTCGTTCGTGTCGGGTTCCAGAACGCGGTGGCAGGGTCCGTGGTAGCGTGCCAGGAACTCCAGGAGGTCGGGAAAGAGGACCTCCGGGTTGTTGAGAGCGAGGACGAAGCTGATGTGCGTGTAGTCCGCGTCGTCGATGAACACGCTCTTCTTGACCCGGGGCCCCAGGTCCTTGACGAGCTGGGTCACAGTGTCCGGGAACACGAGCTTGTCACCGAGGCTCCAGAAGACGCCCACGTCCGTGGTCATCGTGTCCAGGCTGTACAACGGAGGCTTAACCTGATCAGGGGACATGGCGTTACGAGTGCGCGGGACAAGACCTGTACACGCGACTGGAATTATGAAAGCGTGATCACTGGCAGAATGAGAACAGAAAGGAAGTCCTTTCCCTTGTGAAAAAAGTCATTTGTATGAGAAATTTCTTGTGTTCAATAAACACATATGAATCATACAAGATATAAGAACATATAAGAACTATATAGTAGCCATATAAGAGCTATATAAGAACTATATAAGATATATAAGAACCATATGAGAAACGTATAGGAAACTTCTCACAAGTTTATTAAATGGTGCTTGTATGTTCTATATATCTTATATGGTACTTATATAGTCTTGTATGGTTCTTGTATGTTATTATATTTCTTGTATGATTCAAATCTGTTTATTGGACACAAGAAATTTCTCATACAAATGAGAATTTTCAATAGGGTTTAGTGCAGTTTCGCCCCGGAGCGCAAGCATCTTGCCTTCGATTCTGCTTCGACATCTTGTGAGCTTCGTGCGTGAGCGCTCTATTGAAGCACGACAGAACGTTCTACGAGAGCGTGCTGGTGGCCGGACATGTGAAAGAAGTACCCTTAATTCCGTTCATTATATGGCAGTTATTATAGTATGTAGCAAATATTTTCTTTTATGTTTTCTCTTCCAAAGATTAATCGCTTAATCTTCCGATAACGCAACAAGTTGTTCCTGTATTTTGGTGCTCACACACAGACACCCACGAATATATATAGACTCTGCACAATAGATCCTAGCACTGGGAAACAAGCTAGTAAAAATCGGCGCCCGCATATAGAAAGCTCAAATCGTGACGGAATGTGCATCCACTGTGTGTAAAACGCGAGCGCAACGCTCCCCTTGTGAAAAGTATTATTTGTATAGGAAATTTCTTGCTTCAATAAACGGATATGATCAAATAAGATTACATAAGAACATACAAGAAGCTGATGAGAAGATATAAAAACAATATATGATTATATAAGAAGCTATACGAAACTTTTGATCAGTTTCTTGTAACTTCTTATAAAATCCTATATTGTTTTATATGCTCTTATAAGGTTATTGTATGCTCTTGTATGATCTTATTTGATCATACACGTTTATTGCACCAAGTAATTTCTTACACATAAGATTTTTCACTAGAGTCTTGAGCAGTGCATGACGCGTCCATTATATTGTTCGTGTGCTAAAGCACTTGGAGGTAACCTTTAGTATCTACATGGTAGGTCCCTGGCAATCCTGCCAGTGTATTGTACTTAGCAAAAGGAGATATCTAACGCCCACTTGACGCTGAGAGATTGGACCTGCCGAGAGGAAACGAAACAAACAAAAAGAGTGTACACATCGCTGAACCCTCTAAAAAAAATCTCTATACCCATGAATTTTAAAGTATTGTCAGGTCCCTTACAAAGTGACTGTCAGCTGCGGATGCCTCACAACTATTTGCAAGTCGCCCGGATTACTGGGAAAGGCGCTTAAAATAAAGTGATCAAAGGAGTGGGTTTTACATAACTGCAACTTTTATGTATAATGCAGGCGCACAGTTGTTTTTTCTTACCTGCCCGTAGACCACGGTGTTCTTCTCTGGGCCGTAGTCAAACTTTTGCGGTTTCTGAGAAATCATGAGCTGCCGCAGCGAGCAGAGGAAAAAGGGAAGGGGTTACGACCTGGGCGAAAGACTTGGCCAAGCCCTGACACCCTTCTTACCTGCAAAAAATGCTGTAAGTTCTTCATTGACGTGCCGGCAGGAAGTCTGCACAAATAGACAGGAAGCCTGGACTGTTTTAAGGAAAAAAAGAACAGAACTACAGTTTTTGAGTGCTGCGTCTATAGTACCGTATTCCCAATATTCAATGCCTTGACAAAAGCAGTTCCACTCTAGCCGTGTATGTTTTGATTTTCTGCAGCATCACTGGACGGAAGCGGTCACGTGAGACGTGTGCCGTCACTGTTATCACTTTTTTTCTAGTCGGCGCTAGCCACCATATGGGGTGCAGTCAGCTTCTGCTGCAAAGCTCCGGGTCGGTTCTCTGCCACTTAGTGCCGTGGCGTTATTTCGCGACTCCCATATGCCTGCGTGCTGTTTTTTCGGGTGCCGAAGCAGGTCAGAGAACGGCAAAATACTCTTCCGCTTCCCGTCGGGCAAGAACACTAATCTGAAGTGGAGGAGTGCTTGGCCTGCCGTTATAAAATGAAACAGTTCCAAGCCCACAGCAGGAAGCAAGTTCTGTGAGGTAAGTGCATTTCAATGATCTTGTGCATGTCAATGGCAGCCCATCGCTTTTCAGCCGATCACGCTGCTTCGACTGAGCTTTGTTAAGCAGGAAGGATGTTTGGAAGAACGGCTGCTTCTGAATAAGAATAACTATCACAGCCAATCTAGCACCACATGAGTTCCGGGAATCCCCAGGCAAGCCCGGACAGTCACATCCCATCAATGATGGATTGACCCTGATGGCTTGTAGCGTCCGCATAATAGATCTCAGCTCTTCAGTGGACCATTTTACAGTCTTAGAAATAGAAAATGTACAGGGGTACACCCTTGTCTCATATGTAACACCCCAAAATTACATTTGGACGTTCAGTCCACTGATGTCAAGCTGGCGATACGAACTTTTACGAACGGCTGAATAGCTGTTGGATATAACTAGGGTTCGGAGTTTTCGGTTTAAACCGATAAAAACCGATAAAAGTACGCCGAATTCATTTTCGGAAATTCGGTTTTAACCGAAAAAGGTCAGTTTTTAGGTTCGGCAGTTTCGATTTAAACCGATAAAAACCAATAAAATTTCGTCGAATTCATTTTTTAAAATTCAGTTTTAACGGGAAAAGGTCACTTTGACCTTCAAGTCGTAATCGCAGAGCCATGGCGAAAAAGTGGAACGACAGTGTCCATCGAAACGTGTCCGAATGTATGGGATACACGAATGGCATCACGACGTTTTGGTCTAATGTGCGCATCATCAATCGGAACGTGAAGTCCGAAATGCCCCATGACTTCTCCATGTACGAGCGTGTCTTCAAACTCGTTGTGAGGAAGACTGACTTGTTGCAAGCTCTTCATGTTGTCTTGTGCTTCAAAACGTCGCACCGTGTCTCTTTCGGCGATTTTGGCTCAGGCAGCGCGTCATCTCCTCAGCCTGCCAGCGTCCAGTGTTAGCGTTGAGAGGGCGTTCTCGAAGCTCAGGGTCATATATTAACAGGAAAGAAAGAGTGTGGATCAAGGAGGAGAACCTGGGAAAGTACATGTTTGTGTGTACTATAATGAGATCACGTATTCCTGATGTACAGAAGGTGAGGTTCCATGTTTTTGGGGCATAGGCTTCGTATTTGACTTGTTTGTACTTCTGTTTTTTTTTCTTGTTTGTTTTACAGTTGCACACATTTTCCAAATAAAGTGCCCATTTCTTTTTCAATGTATCTGTGCCGTTATTCTTTGAGTGATCACAAATATCAGAGCTACGTACAAGGATCATCTGATCCGGTGTCCGTTGGTGTTTATTTTATATTCACCGAAAAAAGCCGATAAACATTTCCGGACATAAATATACACCGAAAAAAAACCGAAAATTGAATTTTAAAATAAACACCGAAAAAAGTACGCCGAATTTTGAAAAAATAGAAACCGAAAACGCGGAACCCTAGATATAACGCACGAAATACGTACCCCCTACACCTCCTACCTCTTAGAGTGTACAGCGGAGCTGTTAAGGGCTAGTTTCCCCAGTATCGTGTCCGTCAGCAAACTAATGATGACATCAAACTCTGGACCGCTAAACGACGGCAGCAACTAGACAACCGGCTTGCCGGTTGTCTTTTGTCCGTTGTCGCCGTCGCTCATAGATGCCGTCAACTTTTCCAGCTTTTCCACTCTGGCTTGCCGACTTTCGGCCGGCCATTACTTCATTCCCACCATAGTACAGCTCTGCTGGTCTTCCTTCACCAAAATGAAAAAGCTGGAAGTTTTTTTGTTTTTTTTTTGTGTGTTTGTACGGATATTTGCATCTCTCGGGCAACTTCGCATGGCCGCCGCTGTAACATATACCTTACGTTTTTGTTTCCTCTTATCTTATTACTTAATTTCATCATTACTATGAAATAAATGTCTAACCACGCGAGTGATAATTGTTTTGTTATGTAACTGAACCACTGATGTTTGATTTTTCATGTATTTTTGTATTCTCCTTCTTGTAATGTCCCCAAGATGGGTTGACAGAATCTTTAAATACATGTCAAGCTGTTGTCATTTTAGGTTCTGCTGTGTCCTGTCCAGCGTTGGCCTTTGTGAAGAGGCGCAATATGGCCTAAGTTGCTCTTGCTCCATTCAACCCCCAACCATCATCATCATCGCCTTTGTGAAGACTCGTCCATACCCGTTTCAGTGGCTCGGTATCTCGGTAAGACAGGAAAACGTCAGCGTCGACTGCTGTATTCTGCAGCGGTCTAAAGCGTCTATGTACTCAGGGCTCTATCTCACCATAAGTGCAAGCGAAGCCGAAGGCACGAGTGCAGTGCAGTCACCATTGTGGTGACTTTGCTGCTGAGCATGTATATTTCGCAGCGTAAACTGTTTACTATCGCATTTCTTTTCTTTTTCTTTTTTTTTTTGCAAGAATAAGTAGAATGGGTACCATGCACGGTACATGGACTTTATGTGCAAGTTATGCATAACGCTAACTCGAGCCAACTTGCGCCTTCTTGCCTTTTGAGCTACGCGACGCCATAGTATCAAAGAGCTGAGTTGGATTACCACATTTACTGCTGTCATGGGATCATCATCAAAGTCCACCTTGGTTCACGCACGTACCGAATGTAATAAAAACATGGTATTTGTACACAGATAAATAGTTAAATGTAATATGGCCCGAGCTCTCACGTTGAGATACGCCACAGCGCATGTTTCTTTGCAAGCATAAAACGGGCCAGAAAATGACCCAGATGTGAAGCGGCCGATTGAAGCCAGGGAAGCCAAACCTTCTCTGTGAGCTAAAGTCCCTCGATAAAAGTAACGCTTGGCGTTTCTCACTAGTAGAGGCAACCACTGTTGGCGAACGGGAGAGAGACGTACCACGAGATCACGAATGAGAGCAGCACCGCATTTTCCTTAGTCAAAGGGTCGAAATGCTGTTATTCTGGATTTTATTACTAAGGAAACTGCGCTCTCAGGGGAAACTCCAAGTGCCATACAACCTTCAATACATGTTCATAATGAATCTAAAAAAAATAATCAGTACTCAAGTTAATTCCTGAAACTCAGGTTCGTTAGAGCATAGCGAATCGCCAGTGATCAAGCGGCCGAGGGCTGAATGACAGCGGAACTTCTTCCACGAATGTTCCGCATACTCTGCGACAGTACTTCTCTCGTAAAAGTATTTTTTGTCGATCGTTCAAATTTATGGCTAAGAGAGACGCGCAAGAGAAACCGTCACTGACCATGTTGGCGTACTTGCTGCCGAAGTTTATTATCTTGTCGGCCACCGCAGCGCAAACGCCCCTTGCGGGCATTCCGCATACTCCCTTGGCCGTATACGTGTTGATGGCACCGTAGGAAGTAACCTTGTCCAGCTTGGCGGACGCGGCCAGCCTCTGTTTGAGCGTACAGGAAGCGAAAGACGAGTCTGTTGGAGTTTGCGTCTGGATGGCATCGTAAAGAGGCACCGTGAAAGCAAAAACTAGTGAAAAAGAATAAAATAAGAAAGGCTCGCTGGTTTCTTTAGTCATTTCCGACCACATTCACGTGTAGGTATCAAGACTTGCAGACATAGGCCCCACCACGCCACATGACGCCGCAGCTTTAGGCGCCGTGCCAAGAAACTTGAGCGAAATCGGTGTACTCTGTCGCGAACTGTCTTTGACATTTCTGGATTGCATTAGTGGACCTAGGAGTGTTTTCTGATGTTTCAGATGGGAGCTAAGCTAACTGGCAACAACGATCTTGAGCCCCGAGATGGCTGAAGCGTCGTTAGTCTGCAACATTGCTTATTTAGTGGCGCTACACCACGCCACAACCCCACCTTGGTCACTACACAGCCGCGGCACTACGCGGTAGTAAAGTAGCTCCGAAGGTAGTGCGTCCTCGTCCGCACTGTTTCTTCAGCACATCGCTCGCTAGTACAAGCAGGCGCAACGAGTACTCTGCGACATAGCCCTCTGCGGATCTGTTCGCTCTGCTCGTAATACCAGTGTGCACCACACGTTTTTTTCTCTATAGAGCACGTGAGCGAGTTTTACCCCTTAGCTTTGACGTACTGTAGATGTGCCAATTACTCACAAGCAGTCGTTCTGTGCCTTGTGAAGCTTTGAAGATCGTCAGTGGTGACTTGTTGAACTTCCGAAATGGTGCCAAAGCTACGAACGCCTTAACCTGCGAGAAACTTGAACATAAGTTCCGCCTGGAACATCCAACACCTCCAGATAATAAAGTCCCTCGATAAAATTCACTATACATTCGTTGTCACATCAAGCAAAAGGGAAGATTTTTTTTTTTTTTTTTGCATTATTCATGCGTTGCTCGAAGTAGCGCATTTAACATCTGGTTGTCGAAGGAAGAAACAATGCTTTAGGAATTTGAAAAGTGTACGTCTTGATATAGTAACATATAGTTCAAGACGCACCTATGCATATATCTTAGTTCAACAAATGAAGGGGAAAATTAGTAACATTCCGTGCGGACCAAGACTTTTTTTTTAACGTGAACGTTCATAGACCTGTACCTGTCAAGTATTGAGCAGCGTACCTGGCGAGGAAAATATAATATTTTTAGGTCTTGCTCACGTTCTGCGTCGCACTGCATTCTTTCAGACGTCCCGCTAGCGTCCGTCACTAGAATGGGGGACGCTAACGAGACGCTTGTACGTGAATCGTGCACGATGGGGACGCTAGCACGCAGCTTCAAGACAGCATGAAACGGTCGCGTCTAGCGGACGAGGCGACTTTTTTGTGGCCGCGTCTCGTGAACGCTACAGCGCCCCCTGGCCGAGAGAAACAGGCCCATAGGCTAGGTTTTCAGGAGAGGGGAACCCCAATAAAAAAAGCGTGATCACGAATATCCAGACTTGTACCGTACGCAATACAAGTAATCAAATTACTTGTAATCGATTACTTTTTGGAGTAATTTTGTAATCAGTTGATTACTTTTATTAGGCAGTAATCACAAGAGTAATCTGATTACTTTTTGAAGTAATAAAATTACTTGTAATCGTTACAATTTGTCCACGGAATCCCCCCCCCCCCCCCCCCCCCCGGCACACGCCTTTTTTTTATGAAATGACAAAAATAAAATTTGCTTCTTTTTTGTTTCGAACGGAAAAATGAAAGATTTTTGCGGAGCTGTAGGAAACGAGGTCAATCTCTTTCTATGTACAGTTTCTGTAGAATGTCCGTTTTTCTTTTTTCTTTTTTTTTTTTTTCGAGCTGGGACTGCGAGTGGGAAGCCGCAGGGAAGCCACAGTGCTTGACAAAGGTCATTCAGGGCGAAGTTTGAGGCAGTTGGCATCAAAGGCAGTTGAAATATTTCCCCATTTCCCCTGCGTGGTCTTTGTAACAAGCAATGTTTCAAGTTGAGAAGTGGTCGGGGCGATCTCTTCCACTAATGGATACTACACATGATCCGTTTCAAATCCTGGAGCTGCTGCTCTTTTGTATAACATGCGAGCTCATCCACGTGTGAATAATAAAATGAGCGACGCAAACTTTGAGTGACAACCCTTGCTCAAGCTTAACAAGATCTAGAACCCCCTCCGCCCCCCCCCCCCCCCCCCACACACACACACTGGCGAACGCCCAAATCATTAAACGTCTTCAAAAAAATTCTATGCTTGTGTCCGCATCGTGAAGGTACAACGACCACGAAGAGGGAGCCAGTTTTTCTTCTACCATACTTGTGCAAATGTGAAATATAGGTTGGAAGTAGTTCATTGTTATGAGCGCTAAAGATGTGTCTTAACACAATAAAGTAATCGGAAAAGTAACGATTACTTCTTTAAGTAATGTCCAATTACTTTTGCCGTGGAGTAATCAAGTAATCTAATCGAATACCTTTTAGCCAAGAGTAATAGTAATTGTAATCGATTACTTTTTTCGAGTAACGTGTACAAGACTGCGAATATCCCCGCTAAGTTGGACGGGGAAAATGACGTCACATGGGCTTCGTGTAACATGACCTCGAGCACTGCACGGGCTCGTGCCGGCCCGAAAGCCCGGGCCCGGCCCGGCCCACGGGCCGGAGCAAAAATATTTCCGGGCCGCGTCGGCCCGGGCCGTGCCTGGACAGTCGTGTGCCGTAAATTCTAAATTGTTAATAACAAAAAGTTTGCCCATTCATCTTTTAGGTTCATTGAAAACAAAAACGGCGAGGTGCAAAGTCACTACAGCGCCGTTAAAATATTAACAAAGAGGTGTCTCGCAGTTAGAAAGCCTTCAAGCGGATAAAAGGAAACATATGGACTCCACCAGCATAGTGGGAGAGCGCCGGCAAGAAAACGAGGGCACTCCGGTCGCAGGGTACACCATGATTGTCTTTTTCCATTGTTCTTATAATCGCATGCCATTATTATGTACACGATGACTTCTGCAGCGAATCGTGTAACACATTTTGACTGTTTTCACCATCGCTGTACCGGATCCATGTGAGAAGAGAGGAGGCGCAGGAATCAGCGTTTGTTCAGTGATAGTGACGGAATATTCGAAATAAGTACCACAATATATACTTATAATTGTGCATTTAGGACCTTAAGGAATGTGACCAAAATACTAAGCGTATGAAGCTATGTATGTTTCCTAAAATAATTGTCATTTGCCTTCAAAACAAATTTAAAATAACATTTTTTTTATTATTATATAGGATATATAAGATAGGTACCGAATGTTTAACTCGAATTTCATTTGATGCTCGAGATAATGGTAACGTCCACATCAGGCGATTTGTTTGTTCACGATGTTCCATCTAAATATATTAGACATTCTTAATCGTCTCTGCCATGTAAACATATTAGCTAACTGTACGCCATGCTCGGTCCCATATCTGCGTCATTCAAGTGCCTTCACATTTTTAATAGATATAATTCAATTAATTTATTTCAATTAATTCAACAAAAAAGTATGAACTACCCCGGTAAATAAATTCGTTCACAGGCCTCTTGAAGGTGCCTATACGGAGCGTGCCTATACTGCTTCTTTGGCAGGGGTTGTGGTACGTCAGAACGACGAGCTCTGATTCGCTCTGATTGAAATATTAAGGCAGCTTGATTTGAGGTCTACCCACTATCTTTAAATCAGAGCCAATCAGAGCTCAGCGTTCTAACGTCAACACAGCCCCCCCCCCCCCCCCCCCCCCCGCCCAAAAAAAAAGAAGCAGACGAACTTGCGCTGCGCATAGGGCTCGCATTATGTGATGCCGAAAAGAGGCCATCTACATGAAACTGGCACGAGTTCAACGTTGCTGATTCCAGGTCGAATCAGTTTCAATAAAGATCTGTCTAGGCAGGTTCATGAAGTGGTGCCTCGCATTCAACTTCAGTTAAACGTACGGGAGGTCACCTCTCAGGCGCCCTTGACTTCCAGGCGATGTTTACGCAGAGAGACCATGATTTTAGACTTCACTTGGTGGGCCTGTCACTTATTTCATATGCTGAGTACGTCATAATAAAATGTCAGTAAAACAAATAGTTTATTTTCTAACGCCATCGTTGTGAAATGCTGGTAATAAGTACTTTAGCAGGGCCGATAGCTAAAGAAATTTCCCACCCGACAGGACGGACTATCGAAATATTTTTCGAGTGCTTAATTTCTTTAAAGAAAACAGCCCGAGACATTATCACTTATTTTTCGTAGTTACCTGCGTTATTATATGAGACATTTCCAGTTTCTCAAGTTCACAAAAGTTGGTGTACACGTAAATCAAACGGTGAGCAGTGAACTTGCGACTTGGTGTGTTTTTCGCGATTCAGCAGGTTGTTAATCAGTCTGTGTACCTGCATTTTAACTATACATCTACGCATTAGTATCTTCATTAGTTTGTTTGTTTGTTTGCTTTTCTGGAAAGGGTCAGTAGACGATGCGTGCGTCGTAGTCGTTTCGCCGCCGAACTTGAAAGAAATTAACAACAAACATTACCAGATCCACCGTAAAGTGTTCATAAAAGAAAGGTCCGCATTTATGCCTCGAAGCCGCTTGGTGTTTCTCAAAGCGTCCCAGTACCACTGTTTTATTGGTTGTGTGCTATGACGGACACTTTATCCCGAAATCAGGCTAAATTTAAATAAGACAAACACAGCCGCGAGCGCGCTCTCCATCCGCCGGTCGGGTAACTATTAAGATTAAAAGGCCGATACACCACCACGCGGTTCTTATGTCACGGCGTGGCGCATGTTCACACGTGGATCCGATTTTTGCGCACACGCAATGCCCACACAAATGTGTAGGCAAACGCGTACGTGTTTGTAAGCATTGTGTCGCTCCATAGCAGGAGGTACCCCTTCGCTGTGCGTACCTTGGCGTTGTACTCGGGCCTTTCGGACATCATGACGAAGAACATGAGGGTGCCTTGAGACATGCCCACGTAAAGAAGACAGCTGAGCTGTCGCTCCTTGAGGACATAGTCGATCTGCGCCGGAGCATCGTAGATGCCATGCTCGTGAAAGCTGCGGAAGACGGGTGAAGCAGCGCATCCGTGTGAACAGCGGAGGAGTCTGACAACTGCGTGTTTTGTGGGCGCACTCACGAGAAGTCCCAGAAACGTTTGGTCTTGACGGACAGGTTGGCGTGCTGTTTTCCGTACGTGTTTCCTCGCGTGTTGGCCAGCCACACGTCGTACCCGTTGTCGGCCAGCAGAAATCCTGCAAAGCGACGGTCTCTGAACGATCTGTGCTTTTCACGCGGTGATTCGATGTTTCACGAAAGACTGGCTCAATCGCTCCTCCGAAAGGTACTCGTTACGCAGAAAAAAAGGTGATGTCATACTGGTATGTGCCAAAACCCCTACTTGGGAAACTTAGTAACCTTCGGTATAATTAGGGTCCTAATTACTTTTCAGATGTTAACTTTGTAGGCAGTAAATTTAAAACCATTGATTCAATCAAAAACTTCTGGATGTCATCGAAAACCACTAAATCAGCGCACATTACAAACAGATAAGGCACCCGCAGCATATTACGGAGTTCTGGAGATACACTATACTTGGACGCGTTTTTAGGTTTCAATTTCCCATCCCCGCGCGGTCCTGCTGCCCCGTGTTCAATTGGCAGTGTCCAATCCGAGTGAATACATTCTGCAGCACGCATTACACACCACCGAATTTGCTGTTTTCGGCAAAAACACGCAGGAATGACTACCAACATAATGCGATGAGTACACGTGCAAGTCATGTAAGATATTTGCATAAACCGCAAAAACAAATTCTGGTTTGAAAAAAAAAAAGTTTCCTTCGAGTAGCTTCCACCCAATTCACAGTCCACCCCTAGCGCCTATAAACCGCACATCAAACATTCTCACACGCAGCACGCCTTGACAAGCTTGCATGCTCTATGAACCCACAAACAAAACTGGTATCATTCGTAAAGCATCATTACTCATTTGTCGTTCAAAACAACCCTAAACGTCTCGTCATAGTGAACGATTTAAGAAATTAAATCCTGTACAATCCGCACCTGGAGACAGTTCGCAACACATAAGCTTTAAGCTGTTTTGTATATGTACTATAGTGTGCGGACTAGAGCCCATATACCATATAAGGTTTAAGACCTTAAGCCACGGTCACACTGCTAATGCATCATAAGAAAGGCAGTCTGCCGACACTGCCTGAGGAGAGTGGGTAGACCTCAATGCTATAGACGACTCACGGTCTACCCATTATATATATATATATATATTTCAATCAACCAATAAGAGCTCGGCGTTTTGACATCATCGAAACCCCTGCGCAAGAAGCAGACGACCTTGCGCTCAGCATTGGCAGACGAAAAGACCCGAGCTATCTCTCCTGACCCAGAGACTGGCCCGAGAAGTCCATGAGGAAAGCCGAGGAGTCCGTGGCGAGTCCCGTCAGGCGAGTCCTACAGGGTTGTCATTGAGGATGGTGCGGAGTATCGCAGAAACAGGCAGCACTTGCGCACCACTCCAGTGGCCTTCAACATGGACAGGCATCACGAGGAGTGGACCACAGCGCGAGCTGCACAAGAAAGCCCGATGACAGACTCTTCAGGCGAGACCTCAATGGAGTCAGAGCCAAGAGACCCGCCGCTTCAAGACCAGGACGGTCCGCAGCTCAATGTGGATCTTGACCCAGCAGTCAGCGAGCGGTCATGCACCTGATCCAGCACCAGTCCGACATTCTCTCCGGAAGCGTCAAACTCCACGAAGACTCAGCTATGACCGTAATTTCGACCAAGAAAAGTGTAAAACACCTTTGGTTAAGAAAAGGGAGGTGTAACGCCATCACAAGCCTCATCTGGCAACAATGTCCTAGAAGCGGCTTGCTATAAAACCAGCTCAAACGGGAAGTCGAGCCGCAGCGCTCATATCCTGCACTTCGTCTCGCGGGTCTTTACTAACGACCCACTCTGGGAGCCGTTAGACTCCGCTTTGGCAGACAAAAAAACACGAGCTATCTCTCCTGACCCATAGACTGGCCCGGGAAGTCCATGACGAAAGACGAGGAGTCCGCGCCGAGTCCCGTCATCAGGAGCACAGGTTCCCTGTGGCAAGGCTCCGGACAGCTTCGTTTGCCGCCGGGAATGCGGTGCATCTCCAAGATGTAGCCGTCGGCCGTGGTCACGTGGTGGCGCTCGAACGGGTAGCCCTTGCTCACGACCAGGTGTTCCTGGAGGAAAAGGGTGAAGCCGGCAAGCGTCTCCGATGAGGGCCGGTCCAAACCAGATCGCATTCAGGCCGGACATTTTTTACGCCAGTCGTCTGACGTCATCGGTGACGTTTTGCGGCTCCGGATGGCTGCATTCGGAGTTGAATAGATTCAATCTTGTACACGACACTCGAAAAATAATTGATTACAATTAAAATTAAGTTTGCTTAAATAGTATTCAATTTAATTACTGGATTACTTGAGACAAAACGTAATTGGCCGTTACTAGAAAAGTAACCGTTACCTAAGCGATTACTTCAAATTTTCAAAACGACAGTTTTCTGCCGGTTTGACAACGTGTCTTTCGTACTGCCTAATTTTGGACTAGAATCAAAGAGTTATAAACTACTTATATTCTTAATCCACTAATTTTGGTAAACCAGCCTCCTGTTGCAGATTGAAATTGCTTGGTGGTCTGAAAACACTGAGAGCGTCGCAATTTTAATGTTGGAAACCGTCGTCAGACGGTTGCCAACATTTCCCATACTGCCTAGTATAGCCATTAACATCCATCCATCCAGAGTGTACCAGTCTATAAACGACTAAGTGAGGCCATCGGAGTGCTGTTTCTGAAGCTCCGCTTGTGAAAAAAATATTAGAAGGCGCTACAAGCGAAGTGTCTTGGATTAGCTTTTTCTTTTTTTTTATACAGGCGTTGCTAACTTTTGAGCTCGGCCGGCATATTGATCAATGTCATAGAAACAATATAACCTTGGGCTAAATTGTTAATGCAACCTACACATCAGGCGTCACGCATACCGTCACTGCGACCTGACGTGTCGTCACAAAGCCATGCGACATCACGACGACGCCTTGACGTCAACGTCATCATCGACGTTGACAACGCGCGTTACACGACATCAAAAGTGCGTTCTGATGTCATATTGCGTTGACAACGATGTCAATGTCAACGCTGACGTTGACGACGACGACGTCACGCAACGTCAGGACGACGGCGTCCTTGTCGTCAACGCGACTTCATAAAGACACTTGGCGTCAGGTCGTCGGCGTCGTTGTCGACATGACGCAACTCAACGTCACGACGACGTCCCAGCAACTTCACGACGTCATCGTCGACGACGCCAACGTTACTATGACGTCGAGACTTCGTCGTGACGTCGCGTCGACGTTGATGTTGGGGAAGGCTGTGACGTTACAGGACGTCAAGGCTTCGTCGTGACATTGTTGTGACGTTGACGACGACGTCACCCGACGTTAGGGCGACATTAGCGTGACGTCATAGCAACGTTTTACGCTGCGTGGAACGTCGACGTCACCCTCTACACGGCGCGACGTCACGACCGCATTACAACGGCGACTTGATGTCGCATAACGGCGTCGTCCTTAAAGGGGCCCTTCTACCTTTTGTGCGGTTTCCCGTCTCTTGGGGTTCGGGCAAGCCAGTGGGCACGGAGAGAGTACCTAAATATCAGTGCGCCATATTTTAACCGGACGATGCGGAAACCTCCTCCACCGACGAGGGCGACCCACGTTGCCGAGAGCGCGCGATATGTGACGTCTTTGGTCCTGGGCTTACAACTGGTCAGAACCGCTAAAAGCTTTTTTTTTTTTTTTTTTGTCGAGATACAAAATATAAGTGTCGCGAACCCTTTCCGTTATGTATGAAAGTAGTTTTTGTTCAGTATTTTAGATCAGAAAAGAAACAAATGCAGTTGATAAAGTACGGAAACAAGAAATGACCGTCCACATACCCGCCACCAAGCAATGGAAAAGGCGGCGCATACTAGAAAGGTGTAGTGTGATCAGGCACCGACGAGCAGCGAGCGTAGAAAGGTCCCGGATGTACGGGGCGGCGCTGCGGTCGTATGGACTGGTGGATCCGACCGCTCCGAAGGCCTTCGGCGAGGAAGTTTGGCTTGCGGTTTGGCCGTTTGGCGGTATGGCAGCGCAAAGTGGCTCTCGTTATGAACTGATATTTATCCCCTGTTTGCTGTCGTTTGTGGCCAATGAAGTGTCATGCCGAATTAGTGTTTAATCGCGCAGCAAATGCAATTCGAGTTGCCCTGGCTGCCCGCTTCATACAACCTATCCAGAACATGCTTTAGTGACGCCCTCTCGAGCCGTCGACACGGAGTGCGGCAGCCGTGAACGCTAGCTGAACTCACTACCCCTCCTCTACTTCACGGCCACTTAAGCGACCAATGACGTCATGAAGGAGGTTATTTTTTGCTTGTTTTTTGTAATTTCAATTTGCCTATAACTCTTAATATAAAGCAAAATTCGAGAAAGAAAAGTTTCATTCACCTAAAACGTTCAGTGCGCTCAGGACGAAGACGTCGTGGTGTCGTCGTGACGTGTTGTACTGACGTAACCTGTGACGTCAAGATCATAAAAAATAATATAGCTCCGAAGAGGCTATATTTCCCATATGACCTCGATCGATCGAGCGTAACGCTTGAGGATAACGGTCGAGCGTGGCGGTGGAACCAAAAGCATTTTTCACAGAAATTGGCTGATAAAGCACATTCTGTGTTAAAACATTTATCACTCCTTTGTTCAGTTCGCTGCTCCTCTAAATTAGATCCGATGCATAGAAAGGACTAAACTACCAGATATTTACTCTAAGCGGTGAAACCTTACTTGCCACAGCAATACGAGATTGTCAGGGTGGCCAAAACGAGAAAAGGCAAAGTCCTATTCCACCATCGCCAACTCAACCAAGTTGCTACGCCGAAAGTCCAGGCGAACCAAACCACTTCGCTCGCAGCGCCACCACGCCAACTTTCCACATTCGGAGCTCCAACTGAAAGCATGAGCGCAGCCTGTAGCTCGCCCGACTCCGGCGTTTCTAGTTTACTCTAACCCAGTGGTCGGCAACCTTTTGGCGAAGCGGACCGAATCGCCGCGAAGCCAAGGTGGAACGGGCCGGATGGCAAGCAGAGGAAGGGGGGGAGGGGGGGGGGGGGTTAAAAAAAAAAAAAGAAACATTTGCACAAACTCTCATGGACGTACATAAATCGAAAATGAACAGTTTCTTTATTTCACGACACACAACATGAGATACAACATTTCCACGAAAATCTAGAGACTCCTCTCAGTGAGACTTTTGGTGTTGAACTGCGCTCGCCAAACTACGACCATCCATATTCAAGCTGCTAACTGCGAGTCGCAAAACATTGTGAAGGTTCTCGTCAGTCATTCGTGAGCGGAAGTTAAATTTTATGCACTTCATTCGTGAAAAAGTCTGCTCGCAGACATATGTGCTCTTGAACACTGTAATCATGGTGGCTGCGAGTCTTTTAAGATTCATGAACGTAGAATCTGCAATGCCAGCATAAAATGTAACAAGGTCGTTTGCTGCAAATACGCTCTTCAAATCATTATCTGCTTGCAGATCGGCCAGCTCTATCTGGTAACACTCTCGCACGTGGCTAAGATCTGTATTAAAGGGATTTTGAAATAAACAAATCTCGCTCGAATGCTTCGTAAAGTCCGCAAGCCTAACTTCAAACTGACTTTTCAATTCGCGCAAGATTTCTCAGTCTTTCCGTGGGAAGTGGCGTTGCTGTCTCGCCTGCAAAAGCCTTGTGACAGCAACGCCGAACAGACGAAAAGGAGTGACGAAAAGGATTGAGTCCAAGCAAAGTGCGCACCATTTTGCCGTCAGTGGCTTTGTTCTGACTGGTCGTGTAGCAAGTATCCAATCAGAATGAGTTTCGCAAGTCACGATCACAAAGAGCATTATAATGCCAGCAGTTTCACTTCTGGACCAGTCGAGTTCGTATTGTATCCCACCTTTGTGCTAGGATACCCGTGAAAATGTTACCTTCACAAGTGTAAGGACATCGGACTATACCTCAGTGAAGGTCAAAAGAGGCGTACAAAAAAGCGCGGGGGGGGGGGGGGGGGGGGGGAGGCAGGCAACGGGCAGTGAATTAGTCAACTTTATCGTTTCTTTTCTCCTTTAGCTGACCGCGTTGGGGGGGGGGGGGGGGGGGGGGGGCACTACGAGGCTGAGGGCCGCTGCTTGCCGACCACTGCTGAAAACCGAAGCACGGTGGAGGCAGCGGTGACAGACAACCGTACGGGCAGTGTTCGAAGGCGCGGCAGCTGTGTTTTCCACCTTCCGACCATGGAACGTGTACGAACAGTTTAAACAACCTACCGCAACCGTCTGACGAAAGCCTCGGAGGCCTGAGCACGCTGCCGCGACATCGCACTCTGCCAGTACGGTGGTCTCCGATGCATCCACCGTGCTTCCGTACAGACGCCCTATTGAAAATTCTCATTCGTATGAGAATTTTTTGTGTCCAGTAAACACATATGAATAATACAATATATATAAGAACATATAAGAACCATATAAGAACTACATATATGATATATAAGAAATGGTAAGAGCCATATAAGAAGCTTGTGAGAAGTTTCTTATAACTCTCTTATATGGTTCTAATACGTTCTTATATATCTTATATAGTTCTTATATAGCTATTATATGGTTCTTATCAAGTTTCTTATATGCTTCTTGCATGTTCTTATATATCTTGTATGTAGAGCCCTGCATATCCGCGGACACCCGCAGTAAACGGGCGGATGCGGATAAAAATTAGACAAATATTGGCGGATTGCGGATCGGATGCAGATGTCAGGGGCTGCGGATGCGGATATGGCATTCCATTTGTCGACTGATGTTTCATCTACAGGTCGTTTCGTCGACATGCGACGTTTGATCGAAAGGCTTCTGGTGTTCGTCTCATCGAAAAACCTGAGACGTTTCGTCACACGCAACCCTGCTATTTTCGTAACAAACTTTTGGCTTCACGCCTGGATTACAAGGGGGAGCGGGGTATGGTTTGGTTAAGCTCGCCTTAGTGATTCACGCGCTAGCTTTTAGCGGCTTAGTGAAGAGATGCGTTGTCAACAAAACGTCGCAGGGGCATGTGCCCACAAAACTTACAGCGTCGACCAACAGTGTGCTCATGAAATGTATGTCCGTGAAAAGTTGTCCATGAAACGTATTTCCACAAAACGCGTTTCGGAGAAACAATAAGGATGCGAAGAAA